TCTATTCTATTCTATTCTATTCTATTCTATTCTATTCTATTCTATTCCAAACAAGGAAACCTCCTGCAGCCCAGCGCAAGAGAAAGCCTCTGCTTTCTGCCTTGATTTCGGGAAAGGGCTCAGCGGAGCGAGGTACTCAGTGGGTTAAAGGGAGCGAGAGAGGCTGCTTGCTAGAGAGGCCTTGGAGAGAAAGAGAGGAGTTTAGGGGGGATTTAAATACTCGATGCACCTTCCTGTGCTGTTTTAATCTGCCCCTGTGTAAGTGGTGGGAAAAGTGGGGGGGAGAGACTGGCGGTGGGGCTCCTCCGGAGGAGCTGGACCAGCGCGCGCGCTCCAGTTCGGTGAGCTACTTTTGCAAAAAGACGAAAGCTGCAAAGGGGCGAAAATGCAAGGGGGACCCGGCGATGTCCCCACCCCCCCGGTCCTGTTCCTGAGAGGAGAGGAATCCAGTAGCTGCAAAGTCTTCCAAGTCCGGGCCTTGCTTGGCTTTCCCGCCTCCGGGTTTCTGCGGCTTAGGATGCACTACAACTCCCATCCCTCTCGTTTGCTGGAGCGGGGAGCAAGCGTAAATCTTGCGCCGTGCAAAATTTTGAAGATCGGGCCTGCTGGCTCCGCTGCTTCAAGCTCTGCGGCTAGGATGCACTACAACTCCCATCCCTCTGGCTTGCTGGGGTGGGGGGGGGTGGGACAAATGTCATCTTGCGCCGGGCAAAAATGCGTGCAATTTTGAAGATCGGGCCTGCTGGCTTCTACGCTCCAGGCTCTGGCTAGGATGCACTACAACTCCCATCTTCTCACTATCTTGGCGGGGAAGTGTAATTTCTGCCCCGTGCAATTTTCCGGGCCTGATGGCTTTCCTGCTTCCAAGCGTTGCGGCTAGGATGCACTACAACTCCCATTCCCTCGTTTACCGGGGCAGGGGGAATGAGTAATCTTGCGCCGTGCAAAATCCGTGCAATTTTTAAAGTCCGGGTGTGAGGCGGCTTCCCCGCTCCAGGCTCTGCGGCTAGGATGCACTACAACTCCCATTCTCTCGCTTGCTGGGCCAAGGAGCAAGTCAGCAAGTGTAATCTTGCACCGTGCAAAAATCCGTGCAATTTTGAAGTCCGGGCCTGTTGGCTTCCCTGCTCCAGGCTCTGGCTAGGATGCACTACAACTCCCATCTTCTCACCACCTTGGCCAGGAAGCAAGGGAAGTGTAATTCTGCGCCCCCCCCCCCCCCCGTGCAATTTTAGAGGTCCAGACCTGCTGGCTTCCCAGTTCTGGGCTTCTGTGGCTAGTATGGACTACAGCACCCATCTCCTTGCTGTCAGGGGAGCGAAGGCTATGTAATCCTGTGCCAAGCAAAAAGGCTGGCCACCTAGGAAGGGTGGCTTGTGCAGTGGCATCCCCTCTTTGCAGGAAAGTGTAGAAAGAAGCAGGGGGGGGGATGTCTATGCAGATAGGAAATTGTAATGGTAGGGATGATGGGATTTGGAGTTGAGTGCTTTTTTTTCAGTTTAGAAAAGGCGGATGCCAGTCCTGCAGGTTTTCCAGCTCTGAATTGGCTCCTGCAGCTAGGTCTGTTAGGATGGCTTTGATCTGCCTGGATTAACAGGTGAAAGCTCTTTAGTTCTATTTATGTTTATTGCCCGCTTAATATTTGCATATCAAAGGTCCTGTGAGTAGCGGGCCAGGTTGTAGTAGCCTTGGGATGAAAGTGCATTCCTTAAAGTTGTGTTTACAATGAAGCTATAAGAGTTGCAGAGTTATTTCTAATGTAGATACATATCTATACAGCTATAGCCTTTATTTAATCTTAATTATCCATCTCATCTTCCACTTCCATCCTGTTTCCTCACCCTGCTGCACATCTATTGTCTAATATGAACCTCCCTTGCACAATTGTAAAGTGTGCAACTAGTTCATTATAAGCAATGTTGCTACAATCTCCCAATGTGCTTAAATCTCTGATGACAGTTAAAACTTTTGTCCTGTCAGAGGGTGGCAACATGTTTTGGGAGTCTCTATCTTGTGACGTACGTCCACAGTGGAGCCCAACACGTCTCCTGTTTAATGAGACACTTGTTAAGTGAGCTTTGTCCCATTTTACAACCTTTCTTCCCACCGTTGTTGAGCGAACAACTGCGGTTGTTAAATTAGTACACGGTTCATATTTGTGACGGTCACAGTGTCCGTGGGTCAGCTTTTGTGTCCTTCTCACAAGCCAAATCAATGAGGAAGCCAGATCCGTTGAACAACTGTGTTACTCATTGAACAAACGTCAGTGATTCACTTAACAATGGTGGCTAGAACAGGTGGTAAAACAGTGCCAAGCCCACCACAAATGTCTCATGTAAACAGCATACATTTTGTGGCTCAGTTGTGGTCGTAAGTCGAGGGCTACCTGCAACTGGATGTGCCTGGGCTGAAAAGCCGCCTGAGATCATCTGTGTAGCGATTCTATAAAGCAGTGATGGCTAACCTTTGTGTTAGGGTCTGCTGAAAGCACGTGTGCACTGGCACCCACAATGCACTGTGCCCCGCCCCTCCGTGCATGCGAGCGCAACCCCCCCCTTACCTGCACTGCGCATGTGCGTGTCTCCCAGCTGATTTTCGGGTGGTTTGAGGCCTTTTTCTGCCTCCCAGAGGCTCGAGGGAAGCCTCTGTAGCCTCGGGAGGCCGAAAAACGGGCCTTCTGGAAATACCGGAAGTGCCCATTTTGAGCCTCTGGAGGGCCTCTACAGCCTGGGGGAGGCTGTTTTCGCCCTCCCAGGGGCTCGAGGGAAGCCTCTGCAGCCTTTTGGAGGCCGAAAAACGGGCACTTCCGGTATTTCCAGAAGGCCTGTTTTTTTTGGCCTCCCGAGGCTACAGAGGCTTCCCTCGAGCCTCCGGGAGGCTGAAAATGGCCTCAAACCGGCCGAAAATCAGCTGGGAAAGCACGCACATGCGCGGTGCAGGTAAGTTTGGCTGGGGCTTGCGTGCCCACACAAATGGTTCGCCATCACGGCTATAAAGAATCAGGAAGTTACTGAATAAATCTCTATCTTGATCTTGGCAGAGATAAGCTAGATCTGTTATCAAAGTCAGGAGAAGAAGACAAGGCAAAAACAAGGCGAAAATAATGCAGAAAAGGCTCATGTCTGTACTTCACATGAGTATAAGGGGGAAGTGGGTACAGTACAATCAGACTTGGAAGACTGTGGTGCAATAGCCACTCCCAACACAGGTGGTCCTTGACTTACGACCACGATTGAGCCCAGAGTTTCTGTTGTTAAGGGAGACATTTTTAAGTGGGATCTTTCTTGCCGCAGTTGTTAAGTGAATAATGTAGTCGTTAAGTGAATCTGACTTCCCTGTTGATGCTGCTTGTCACAAGGTCGCAAAAAACGATCCCATGACCTTGGGACACTGCAACCGTCATAAATACGAGTCATTTGTGAAGCGTCTGAATTTCGATCACGTCACTGTGGGGATTCTGCCATGGTCGTGAGTGTGACAGACAGCCCTAAATCACTTTCAATGGAAGGCAAATCGCTTTTTTTTTCAACGATGACGTAACCGGTCACTGAATGAACTGTCTTAAGTCGAGGACCCTCTAGAAAAGTTTTAGTTTTAGCCCTCCTGGGGAAATCATTCTTGGTCTGGTCTTTTTGTTGGGCTGACAGTTTCTCAAATTCTTCCTTTTTTTTTTTTTCTCCTCAGAGAGTGCTACTTCGCCGCTGAATTATGTCGCGCAGCTCCCTGCTTCTTTAAAAGCCTTCCCATCTTGGAGGGAAGCTGCCAGCTGTATTAAGAGAGAGAAATTCTGGGATATTCCTGCAAGCTTCTGGCCCAAGGCTGACCGAAATTGCAAATTTTGTGGTCAGCGACGCCTGCTTTTCGAGAGGCCATGGCAGCTGAACAGAGGGCCAGGAGAACGGATGGCCTCCCAAGGCACAGAGGGGTCAAAGTGGAAGAGCGTCAAACCGCCAGCCCCCGAGGGGCAGAGGGAGGGGACCGGGCTGGGAAACTGCCTCGCGTCCTCCAAGTGGGCACCATTCGAGAGTTCCTGAATTGGGCTGCCCCGCGGCAAATGAAGCAGGAGCCCAGGGAGGACTTGCCCCAACTCTGGGAAACCCAATGGCAGGAGTTCCTCGCTGCGCTCCGGGCCTCTCCTCTAGGGGAGGGACACCAGCAGCTGTCCGAGGGACCCGCCCCGTGGGGGGACAACAAAGCCTTTTTCGCCTCTTTTGAGCGCCTGGCTGGAACCTGCCAGCTGCCCCGCCGAGAGTGGTTGGCGCGCCTGGTGCCCGTGTTGGGCACCGAAGCCAAGGAAGCCTACAGTAGCCTCAGTCTCCAGGACCGAGGCGAATACGCCAAAGTCAAGGCGGCCATCTTGAAAGGGGATGCCTTCCGGATGGAGGCGCAGCGCCAACGCTTCCGGCAGTTCCGCTACCACGAAGCCTGGGGGCCCCGGGAGGTGTGCAGCCAGCTTCGGGAACTGTGCCGGGGATGGCTGAAGCCGGAGAAACACACCAAGGAGCAAATGTTAGACCTTCTGGTCCTGGAGCAGTTCCTGACTCTTCTGCCTCAGGAGATCCAGAGCTGGGTGCGGGAACACGGCCCGGAGTCGTGTGCGCAAGCTGTGCCCCTGGCGGAGGCCTTCCTGATCAGGCAGCAAGAGGCCGAAAGAAAGGGGAAACAGGTATAATGACTGACAGAGCTAAGCTGCCTTGTCCTTGGCACAAAATGGTTGTGCGGTGATGAATTTAAGTGTTGTTTTGCATTTTCCTGGAAGAGGTCTTATTACACACTAGCTCTATACCCGTGCTTTGCTACGAAACTATGTGATCGGGCTTAGTTTGTGAGGAGGAAAATGAGGGGAAAAAATTCTGCCTCTGCCTACCAGCATCCATCGATATTTATCTGGTTAGCATCCTGTCTGTGTGTGAGCGAGTTGAGGACTGTTTGGAAACTGAAACAGTATTTGCTGTGTGAGCAAGGAGGAGACAGCAAGGAGCCTGGGCATGGCTTAGCTCAACTGTTCTGTACTGAAGCTGGTTGCTGTTCTGAAACTGAAACTCTTCTCCTGTGCTTGTGTTTTGCATTTGGAACAGATTTCTTTTCAGATGGGGAGGGGGGAGTAGAACTCCTTAGCATCAGAGCATTTAATAATAATATACAAAATACTAATACTCTGATGGTCATTTAGAAAAATCCTTTCTTAGCACCTAGAAGCCAAGAGGAACATACGTGCCAAATTTCAAGTTCGTAGGCTTTACGGTTCTGGAGATTTTTTGATGCGTGAGTGGTATTTCGCTTTTATATACGTAGAAGGTTTATATAAGCTGCTTAGACAGCTTCACTTTCATTTTTACTGCTTGCCCTTCCTCCTCACACTTAGAGCCTGGTGGTACAGATGCATTTCTCTTCAAACAATCGTACAGTTTGTAGTACATAGATTTGCAAAACAACGGGATAAAGGAATATTCTTGAACTTTGTTTGATGATTTACCTCATGGTTACTGTGAAATTGTCTGAAGTGCATCAATGCAGTGCATGTTATCTCAGCTT